GTTCATTTTCTAATTATTATTAGATATTTACAACATGCTCTTGAAGGCATCAGGATGTTTTTTTGACAGGTTGATTGATCGATCAATCTGCTATTGTGAGCTAAGTATGTGTACAAAGACAGCAACCAGAGTAAAGAGGGGAACTAGCCAATCTACTGCAGGACCACAAAACTCCCAGCTTTACCAATCAAACTAATATTGAAGTAATAAGTTTATAGACCATTCAGACTTTCTCTAATCTGACCCTTTTGCACTGTTAATTCTGGGTGTGCTGGTCAGACTTGTTCAGGCATTACTAACCTGAATGTGCAACAGTTCCTGTGTTAATGTTGAAGACATACATAAATTGCATTAAAGTGCTTTATTGCCAAGAATTTTGGAATCCTCTGATTAACCTGATACTGTTGATGCGAAGCAAGAGATTTGAAATTACACGGCTGCCCTGAGGCAAAATTAAGTGGCATTGATTTTCACTTCATTTAATTGTTGTTAATTTATTGTTAAAACTGATGAAAATGTTTACTTAGCTTTTAACCTATTTTCAGTTTCATAATTAATGCATCCTTTAGCATCACACAAATAATGATATCAAAACATGATTATGGCACAATTTGCAGTTTTCCCTTTTAGACGTTATGTTCAAGCCTACTGTAAATGTGTAACTTGGGCAACACAAGGTTTCACCCAGGAAACTGTTTAGCTGAGGCAGTGAGACACCCAGACCAGATCCTGACATGCCTGTTCTTGGTTCGTCCGGTTTCTCATCAGTCAGCGGAGTCAACCAGCCGGGAGATTATACTGCAACCTGACTATTTTCTCTTGGCACAGTAATTAGTTGATGCCAATGCTGTTTTCTACCTGATTGAGACTGATCATAAACTCACACCCCTCCTTATCAAGGGTGTGTGTTGTCATAAGTCCATCCGCACATTATCCTCTTTCTATACATTCCTCCCTGATTACATCATTAAGCTTGGCTGCCTCTGCTGCCTGTCACAGCATGACATGTACTTACAGTCCTTGCAAATACAGTAATTGGTGGCTTTTAGTGCTCATCTGATCCTGAGCATTTTCTGGCCTGGGGCTGGTTGCCACGTAGAAGAAGGAATGAGGAGGAAGGAGCGAGGGGAAGACGAGAAGGAACAGATGATGGCATCCTGGCTTCTGATTGCGCGTGATTCCCCCTGGTTCTAATCAGCTGGTGTTACTTTGAAATTACCCCCTTCGCATGTCATTACTGTGTGTGTGTGTGTGTGTGTGTGTGTGTGTCAGAACAGAATTAGCACAGATGGATGAATATCCCATAGTTTAAATCAACAATTTACTGACCTTTTTTCAATTGCTACTTCCACGCAGAAGAGAAAATCATTTGGTTAGGGCGCAGGGAGAAATCATTTAAATCCTCTTAATAATGTTTTTTCCTTATCTGAAGCCTTTATGCTTGTGCTCCGGAGTTCTCCATATTCTTCCCGTCAAACAGATTTCATTTTGTAGGAGACCTTTCTCTGCCCTCCTTTTAATTGTCTGCTTTTGCCCCAAGTGCTGATAATGAATTCATTCAGTTCTTCATGTAGGCAGTCAAAATGAACAGCTTCTCCATTGCCGGGAAAGGAAAAGATTACACTTCAGCTGTGACATATTTTGTTTTTTTTCAATTTTATTTTATTTCTCTAATTGAAAAATGATACAGTGGAGTGTTTGAATGGGAAGAGATATATAGCGCATGATTTAACATGTTTTGTTGTCATTCTTAAAATATTCTGTGATTTGCAATTTCTCTCTCTTTTTCTCTTTCTCCCCCCCCTCCCTCCCCTTCACACAACTTCAAGTGTCTCCTGGCCCCATTTCCCAATTAGCTGCCACAATTAGGGTAAAAATGTAGTACAAGAGAACTGGGATGACAAATTTAGCAACAATGGGAAGAAATGAAGGAAGAAACTACCTCACTGTTGTTTTTTTCTCTCCCCTTGTCTGTATGTCACTGTAATTTATGTCTTATATAGTAGATATATCTGTGGTTATTCATTTCATTCTTTATGTAGAGTTGTTCCATGACTGCATGTATTTTCTGTGTGTGTGTGTGTGTGTGTGTGTGTGTGTACAGTATACGTAAGAAAGGTGGCCGAGCCTGTATCAGCTACCTTTGGCCTCTTCAGTGGGAGAGTGTGCTGTAATGATGCTGCACTAGGCTTTGCTTTCTTATGTAATCCTCCCACCAGTTTGAAACACCACCACTTGTTATAATACAGCCTTGCATTAATGTAGGGTTGTGCAGCACGAGCACATGCATGGATTCTTTGATTTGCGCACATTTGTGTGACCGTGTCCTCGTCAATGAGATGCACTTACATCAGAATCAGGCAGCGCGGAGAAACATTTAGGAATAAACATTTCCGTTGCGAGGTCCTGAGGGAAGTGTTAGTCTTTTATCTTCCCAGAGGCAGAGAGAGTGGGGATACCTTTTTTTTTTTTTTTTTTTTTTTTATACGAGAGATGTGTGTGTACTTGATAATGGGATTCTCCCCCAGTTATACTCCTATCCTTCTAGTATATTAGACTAGCAGAACCCGATGGCAAATAAAGGGAGCTAATTTAAACATCAGTTGCTGTTAGGACAGTTTACAATGCTCCTTCTGCCGTCTCTTCGTGATGGCTTAAGAATATGTTTATGTAAAACAATAAGCTGATGCGATGCCCTCTGTAAAAAGCAATTAGTTGTATATTTAGGAGTCTGTAGGACATTAGAAGTTTATCTCCAGTTGCTCATTGTGTTCCTGGGAGCTGCTGAGCCGGTACACAGTGGACTGTCTATGAGTTCATTTAACTTGAGAGCTAGACCCAGTTAACAGCGGCGGAGAAACTTAACTGGAAAGATGGGGAGTTCAGCCAGCCATGGAAACCCGAAATGGACACTTAATTCATGTTTTGATTAACAGATCATATTATCTGCATAAATGAACCAATTAACAGTGATTAAACAATACAAACATATGAGGCTGCATATTTTACTCTTGCAGTTGGTAGTGTCCGACTACAGCTTTTTCCTGTGATCCAGTTCCAGTTTTTGCTTTAGCGGCTGTAGAAGCAAGCACAGTAGTGCTTTGTGCATAGTAAAATAGTTACTGTTGTGTCGGTGGTTTATGTCTGACTCATTGGTATTTCTACTGTAGGTGTGTTATGCTGCACTCAAGCCACTTGAACTATGACTCTTGACAGGATACACACCACAGCAAGCACGCACACGCATACACTGTCCTATCCAAATCTTGGCTCTCATTAAAAACAAAATACAGACAGCAAGATGAAGGCAAAAGCCAAAATGCTGAAGTCTGACTTAAGATAAGATGGATGATTTTCAGTATGAGCTGCCGGGATTGTTTCAGGTTGACACCGGTGGCATCTTGCCATATTATTTTGCCACAGTGTGGATCCAGGCTAGAAGTAGATTAACTGTTCTCCTGCAGTATTGATGGTTATGTAGGGACTGCTACTGCAGCAGTCTTGTGGTTGTCTCTCTGTCCCCTGGCTGTTCCTGACTAGCTGACTGGGGACCGGCTAATTGGAGGAAGCCCTCGAGGTGAGCAGGAGGAGGAAGGAAAGAAGAGGTAGAAGAGAAGTAGAGGAAACTGCTGTGGTGGGAGATGTCAGGCATCATGCATTCTCTGCATTTACACAGACTCCGCCTGCAGCGTAGTGTGGTACTGTATCTCCACGGTAACACTATGTATTGCTGCAGCAAAGACAAAAAGTATTTTCATTTTCATTATAAGATACCTGCATTATATAAAGATGGAAACATTTTTCATCGTTATGTCATACCAACTTCTCTTGTTAAAATAAGTTAAGTTGTTACAATAGCTTGGTAGAAGAAATGTTCTACCCTCATTTACAGTATTTTACAGTAAACGTTAATGTTATAGCAGTAATTTAAAGTCTACATGCTGATGAATTATGGTCAGCAGAATCATATATTATGTTTATCTGTAGAATCTACTCTGCCAGCAGAGTTCTCTACCAGCAATAATGAGCCTTTGTGTTCATCATCTAATGCTCTAGGGTAACTATATGGATCCCTGTCAATGCAAATTTCCCAGTCACTTTGTTTTTAGTCCACGAGTACCTCCCCCACATCTGCCACCAGCATCAAATCCAGCTTCTCTCCTCCCTAATCACACCTGGACTGTTTTACACTGATTTTGTAACAACTGAAGGGTGTAACATTAGTTTGAAAAGTTATCATATTCTGCATTGCTACATTCTTTCATCCTCATTTTGCCAGCTACTCAACAGCAACACATTATGATTAAGATGGCCCTCATACTTAGTTTAATCATTCTAGAAATGTGGTAAATATACTGTCTTTACTTACTCTGCATGTTTAACCCAGAATACTAATGAACATCACATGCTGTTGTATTCATCAGGGATATAAGCTATACTTTAAGGAAGTAGTCGTATGTTCAAGTTCAGTGTCTAGTACTCTTTATTATGAGTAGCACATTATGATTATACCTTCTCACTGTATCCCCAAATACATAAAAAAAAATGCAGTAAAAAAATTATAACATAAATTTTATGTCTTATAGCAACAATCCTTTTTACGTCACGTGTCCATTCTTAATTTTTTACATTTTAAGATGGTACAAGACATCAATTAATCAATGACAGAAAGCGATCAGTTCATCAAACTTGCTGTTGGCAACACTGCATTTAAATTTTTCATATAGCAAAACAATACCATTAATGTTATCGCTATAGTCACAAGTTCACTTGAATACTATCCCAGCATAGGCTGGTGTCGCATCAGCTGGCCATAGTTTGCCATCAAAGCCATCAAAACTTCCACTGAAGTTTTGTCTATGTCAGAAAGAGAAAGCGAGGCAGGAAGTGGGAGAGAGAATGAATACAGCAAGGTGTAAGTCTTTATTCCGTGCCCTTGAACCTTCTCTGCTGATAAGAGAAGCAGTCACCTCCCATGTATTTCTTGTTTTCTCTTTCAGACCATCATGGAGCAGTTCAACCCCTGCTTACGGAACTTTGTTGCCATGGGGAAGAACTATGAGAAGGCCCTCGCCAGTAAGTCCTTTTTTTTCATTTATTTTCTCTGTGCCTTTTGCCCTAGATTTAGGCTCACAGCCAAGCCAGCCCCCCCAGCCTTGGTGTAGGTAGGAGACAGACTGGTAGGGACTCACTGAGCCATTAAAGACCCACTTTGCAGGATTGGCTCAACCCAAGAGACTAAGAGGCTCTGCTTTGCGGGGCAGGGGATGGAGGGACACACTTCCCACCCATATGGTGCAATCACTGAAATTATTCAACACCAGAAATGCCAAAAGGTCTTCATGGCTAGGCCTGCTAGATCTGGATATGGGCACGTTCCAGGTTTTCCAACACAGCAGTCAGTCGCTAAATCTCACTTTGGTGTGGTAAGTGTAAAAGCAACAGATGCATACAACTGAGTTATTCGAACTTCCTACCAAACACAACATGTTATACAAGTCCCCTGACAGCATGATGAGGACGCTATAGGTGCAGAAAAAGAAGACAAGGGATATGATTTCTGCCCTGATGAAGAGATGTGTGGTTCTTCCTCCTTCTCTAGAGGGAAGGATGAGTGATGGATCAGTAGCTCTTAGATGTGCCCCTCCCCTACCAATTGTCTGTCTAGCTTGCAATCAGAAATCTGGTAATCCGCTCCGTCTGTCTCTGTGAGCCCCTCACCACACATTTCATTAGACACAAGTAAAGTATCCATATAGATCCAGCTTATCTACTCAGCCACCCTTCAGCTGCACACACATTCTCTCGCACGCTACAGATGTAGCATCAGAAAGAAGAAAGAAAGTGGAGATCACTTTGAAAACTGTTGTAGCTCCCACCATCCCACTTGTGCAATCCCCCCTAAAACACACACACTCTCGCACACTTTTATACTAATTTATGCAGGAGGTCTGTTTGGCACAATGAAGAGAAATCAACAGAGATGCTCTGGAGGGGCTCTGCTCTCTGTACTCAGGTGTTCCCCCAACAAGAGAGGAAGGAGGAAACGCATGCCATCTTCTGCTTTTGACTCAGCTGTAATTGGGATTAGCATTAGCATATGTCCCTCAGCCTCGGCGCTGAGCTGCGAGGCTTCCAGCCTGGGAGACTTCCTCTATCGCAGGCTGCATCTGTCTGCTAGAATTAGCCTGCCCCTGCCAGGGTATTGTTGTAAATGTGTCTCTCACCTGGCAGCTGTCTGCAGGCACAGGACCCATCTGTCACCTGGACCGTGGTTGAATTCACCTCCAAAAGCAGGGGCCATTATTCATTGGAGATGGGCTGATTGGCATGCTGTATGGCAGTTGGGCAGAACTCACTGGAAGCTGACTCTGCCCTTTGTGACCTTTGTTGGCCAGCACAGCTGCAGTTGGAATAATAGGGACTGAGGTGGATATTGATCTGGGCCATGTTGATCTTTATTTAGCCAATGAGAGAGAAGAGGAGGTATGGTTGCTGATTAAGTTTAACCTCACAAATTGTATTTGTGTATACTCAAAATCTAGAGCAGAAGTCAAGCATCTTCTGTGCACATGAGCACGTGTGTGTGTGCACAAATCTGTGCACACATGTGACATCTTGTTTTAGAGACCCTTGAAGTTGCTTGTATATTAGTGGGGGGAAAAAACGATTATACATTAATAATCATACATTTTATTTATAGGCACCTTTTTGAACACTCAAGGTCACCTTACAAATCATAATAAAACAGTACAGCAATAATCGATAAAATTAACAACTATAATTACAGTGCATAAAATCAGGGTACAAAACAACTGGAAACAAAGATCGACTAAGAATGATCACGTGGCATATGCCAGTTTAAAAAGATGTGTTTTCAGGCGGGATTTAAAAATGGAAAGTGAGTCAATGTTGCGAATGTCTGGTGGAAGAGTTCCAGAGATGAGGGGCAGAGCGGCTGAAGGCTCTGAACCCCATGGTGGTCAGACAATAAGGAGGTACAGTGAGGTGAATAGAAGAAGAAAACGTAAGAGTACAGGTGGGTGTGTTAATATGAAGGAGGTCAGTAAGGGAGCGAGATTATGAATGGCCTTGAAGGTCAGGAGCAGAGTTTTGAAATCAAAGCAGTATTTAACTGGAAGCCAATGAAGCTGCTGAAGGACAGGAGTAATATGATTAATTGAAGGGGTTCTGGTGATGATACAGGCAGCAGAGTTCTGAACCAGTTGAAGTTTATGCATGGATTTGAGAGGAAGACCCAACGAGAAGTGAATTACAATAATCAATGCGGGATGTGACCAGTGTGTGAACAAGAATGGCTGTACTAGTGGGTGAGAGAGATGGTCGGAGGTGATTAATGTTACGTAAATGGAAGTATGCAGACCGAGTGATATTATTAATGTGAACTTCACACCCAGACTGTTGACCTGAAGGGAGGGGTAAACTGTGCAGTTGTCAATGGTAAGAGGAAAAACTGTCCGATTTAGTCAAAGTGGATTTGGTGCCAATGAGGAGAACCTCGATTTTGTCGCTGTTAAGTTTGAGGAAGTTGCAAGAGGACCAGGATTTGATTTCCGTTAGGCAATCAGAGAGGGAGGTGGGTGGGAGAGATGTGGTAGATTTGGTGGACAGGTAGAGCTGGGTGTCATCCGCATAGCAGTGAAAATGGATGTAAAAATTTTTTAAGATATGGCCAAGAGGAAGCAAATAAATGATGAACAAAAGAGGCCCTAAGACAGAGTCCTGGATAACACCGGTAGTGACAGGGGATAGCTCTGATTTGAAATGTTTGAGTTGGATGAACTGAGTGCAGCCAGAGAGATATGATTTAAACCAGTTCAAGGGTTTGTCAATGAAACCAATAGAGACTAATCTCTCAAGGAGGATGTTATGAGAGGTGGTGTCAAAGGCTGCACTCAGATCAAGGAGGATGAGAATAGTTAATAGTCCGGAATCAGCTGCCATGAGAAGATCATTGGTGGTTTTTACCAGCGCTGTTTCTGTGCTATGGCAGGGACTGAAACCAGATTGGAATTGTTCATAGAGGTTATTGTCAGACATGTGTGCATGGACCTGATCTGCAACTGTTTTTCAAGAATTTTAGAAAGAAAAGGTAGGTTAGAAATAGGACAGAAGTTGTTGAAATTGTTGGGGTCAGCACCAGGTTTCTTAAGTATAGGAGTTATTGCAGCTGATTATAGAGACAAGGGAACAATACCAGAGGGGTGAGAGGAATGTATAATGGTAGTTATTTGGGAAGAGAGTGGGGGTAAGCAGGCTTTTACTAAGACGGTAGGAAGAGGGTCAAGCTGTCAAGTAGTTGATTTTGAATTTCTAATAATGTCCAATATTTCAGCAACTTGAAAATGAACGAGAAAGAGGTGTCGGGGGAACTGAAAAAGACAGACTGTGAGAGGTATTTGCTGGTGAATCTTGTGCACTTTGGAATAAAAAAAAATGACATTAAGGGGTTATAGTAAGCAGATGAGTACAGACGAGGCGCGAGAGAGTCCGGTGGTCATAGTATGTTGTTGACCATGGAGAACAGGGTTCTGGTATTACCTTTGCCTGAAGTGATTATATGTGCATAATAGGTAGATTTGGCTGTAGAAACAGCATCTTTGTAGTGGAGAATGTGGTTTTTGTACATTTCTTGGTACACAGCGAGTCCAGTTTTCTTGTAAAGGCATTCCAGGCGACGATCTTTTACCTTGAATTGGCGTAGTTCTGATGTAAACCATGGGGCAGAATGGGTGAAGGAAACAGTCTGAGTTTTTAAAGGAGCAAGAGAATTTTTTAATCTTTTGTAGGCCATCGTTGTAATGAAAAAACAGATCATCAGGGTTGGAAAAACAGTTTTATAATGGGGAGACTGTCACTTTCAGTAGAGAGAGTGTTTAAATTAATGTCCTTAATATTTCTGAAATGAAATAATACGTGGCAGTTTTATTTTGGATAGTGTTAAGTTGCCATTAAAAGAAATTAACATGTGATCAGAAATGGGGAGGACGGCCGCAGTGCAACCATGAGGAGTGACACCAGAACAGCACACAAAGTCCAAAACATGACCTTTGGAGTGGGAAAGTGAATATGTTGCTCCAATCCAAAACTGTCTAGGCAAGAAGTAAATGCCCTTGTGTATGCATTAGAGGTATTGTCCATATGTATATTAAAATCCCCCAGCAGTATTACGTTAGGGGAGAGTGAGCAGATAAATGTGAGAAAAGCAGCAATTCATTTATAAATGATAATGATATCAGTATTGGGCTTGGGTGGACGATAAATAGTTGCCACTATAGTTGGAATAGGGCCGTTCAGTTGTAGGGCGATAGATTCAAATGAACCATGAGAAGGTACAGAAACGGGTGAGATTTTCTACTTCTCGCGGTATATTATGGCGAGACCTCCCCCTCTGCCTGAGTCACGGGGTTGACAGATGTAAACAAACCCAGGGGGAGTAGATTCATTCAGCTGTGAAAAGTCATTAGGTTGTTGCCATGTTTCAGTTAAACACAGAAAATTAAATTTACACTCAAAAGATCCTGGAGGAGAGGACCCTTGTCCGTTAGAGAGCGGGTATTGAACAGTCCGAAGCTGACGTTGTAGTCATGTTGGATGTTGGCGTTAGCCGACTTGGCTAGGCTGGCTATGACACTGTGGTCCACTTTTTGTGTGGAATTCTTGGGGGGATGACGAGTAGAATACCAGATGGTACAGGTAAACTAGTCCAAACAACAACACCGGATAATCTAATCAAATGCCGATGTGGCCAGATCAGACGACTACTACTACTTTTCAAGAGTCAGTTAAAACAGCATGAGATCAGTCCAGAGTGCATCAGTTAAAAAAATCAAGGACAGTTAAAATTAACTAAAAAAGGGGGTCGGAGAGTAGCGGCAGCTAACCGCGCCAGCGTTCACGCTCACTGAACAATATTATAAATGCAACACTTTTGTTTTTTCTCCCATTCATCATGAGCTGAACTCAAAGGTGTAAGACTTTCTCTATGTACACAAAAGGCCTATTTCTCTCAAATATTGTTCACAAATCTGTCAAAATCTGTGTTAGTGAACACTTCTCCTTTGCCGAGATAATCCATCCACCTCACAGGTGTGGCATATCAAGATGCTGATCAGACAGCATGGCTATTGCACAGGTTTGCCTTAGGCTGGCCACAATAAAAGGCCAATCAAAAATGTGCAGTTTCACTGTATTGGGGGGGGGTTGACATAGAGAAAGTCTTTGAGTTCAGCTCATGATCAATCGGGGAGAAAAAAAAGTGTTGCTTTTATAATTTTGTTCAATATATGAGCAAACAGGTAACCCCATTAGATAATGAAAGCCATTTACATTGTTACATCAGTGGTCATCCATATGGTCACTGATCAAAAATAGGCCTGGAATGAAAATTGCCCCAAATTTGACTTGAACACCAGACATAATTTTAATGTGTAGGGCTGACCCCGAATAGTCGAAGATTCGATGCTTCGATGGGCAGGGCCTGATTCGACTGTCAATCTCCCAGTTGAAACGAGGATCATGCCATTTTGGTGAAATGGGGCTGCTCAACGTCTGATTTTACATAGAACAACCAGTTTTCTCCCTTTACTGCCTATTACGGTATACATTTCAATATATAATGTTGTAAATAAAAAATGAGAAAAGGGGGGAAAAAAACTTTTAATAAATGTTGTGAATAAATACAGAATTGTAACCCTAATCCTCAAGGTAAGGACCATCAGTGTGCATGTGTAGGCGTAGGGGTGTGTGTGTGTGTGTGTAGTGGCAGAAGAGGAACTTGCTGTAGAGACTTCACTGTTGTTGTGCAGAGTTGTCTGCACCTCACGGGACGTTATGATCATTTATCACCGTTGATGAACCACAAAGAATATGTAAATCCTTAGTCGGGAACAGCCCTAATAATGTGTGGTACTTATAATGGATGTAGCGATAGAAAAACTGTCAAAAACATGGGGGGAGTGTTTCCAGTTGTTATCTGGAAAAAGCTACATTAATTCAGGCTTTGCTGAATTTAAAGTGTCCAGGAAATATACTACAATAAATATACTAAATATACAGCCCTTTAAATGTTAAACTTAATGCTCACAAACAATAGTGCTAATAAACAAACTTTCCTTCTCATTGTAACACTAAACCAGAAACAAAACAGAAAACTCTTTTCATGCTTGTGTGACATCCCCATTAAGCAAAGATTATCTGTCAGGAAATAATTTCCCCTCTGCAATCAACATGCAGAATGCCAACAAGATGATGTTGAGTAATTACGTAGCGACATCAGTGTTGCCTTATTTTCTGATGGCGAGAAGCTGTGAGTCACTACTTGAAAAGCGTCTGAGGAAAAACAGAGCTAGAAGGAGGAGAGTGCAAGTGTGACTGCTCACAAATTTGCTTACACAAAGCGAAGCTGTGTAATGGATTGTCTTTTCCAAAACTGTAGAGACACACTGCACTGTAACTTTCAACTTAATCACCATCCTGCTTTCTCTTTGTTCTTGCTATTCTAGATGTGACATTTGCTGCCAAAGGCTACTTTGATGCTCTGGTCAGAATGGGTGAACTGGCCAGTGAGAGTCAAGGATCCAAAGATTTAGGTAAGCGACTGACATATACCTGATGATCTCTGTTTATTGCCATCTCTGTTTTTCTTTCTCGGTGTTGGCGTTGGTCACACTGGCCTTCAATCGTAGCATAAGTCCTTCATACACACACATCATCTAACATTAGCTTTCTGTGTCTAAATTGGCAGGGTAAGCTAAGTTGCATTCAGAGAGAAATGTGTGGGTTGATGCAAGGGGTGTCTTTTTTTTTTTTTATTAGAATTTTTACTGAATCATTTCAGTCCTAAAGCAGTTTGTTGTTTAAGTGTGTCCAGGTGGAAATAACTTTTTTTTGAATTTGTGGGCCTCCCTTTTGACAGAGCAGTATCATCAGAGATAGAAATAGGTAACAATTACGAATGCAGTACAGTCAGCACAGCGAGGTGGGAGATGAGAATCAATTATTTACAACAGTACAGACGATGGTAACGTGTTTTCATCAGAGCTGACGATTGATTTTGGCATTTCCAGTGTAATATGTATTGATTCTATGTGGAAAAATGTATCATGATACCAGATGTCAGAAGTTATACACCTGATATGTGTATTTCATGTCAATTGGGGGGGGGGGGGGGGGGGTGTTCTGGTTAAAAATACAGAGGTCAATTGGAGAGCCAACATTTGGTCCTCTCATAGTGAGTAGTTTCCTAGGTGATCAGTGTCTATGAGTGTGACTGTATTTGCTGTCACCAGCCCATGGGAAATCAGCTCCTATTTGAAGAGATTCCCTTTGCACTGATTGTGCTTTCGACTGTCTAATCTGTGTAGATGTAGCTGTTGATTTGATGGGCCCTTTGTTGCAGTGGAGCGGAGATCCAGGTTGGGTTTGATCCAGGCCATCCAACAGAGACTTACATGAAAGTGCTCTCAGGATGTTTTATTCAGTAAGCCTCTCTCTCTCGATCTCACAACCTGTGAGGTTTCCCATTGATTCCAAAGTTTACGGCAGTATCTCCATGTTGAACTGAGCCTCGCTTACAGTAGCGGGCTCTTCCAAGCCAGACATCCTCAACTGAAAAAACGAAAAGAGAGCAACATATACGTGATGTGACTGACAACTGGGATAATCTCTTCTTTTGGCTTTAACAGCAAGGAATTCTACATTTATAATAAAAGAAATCTATTTATCCATCCATCGGCCACTTTATTAGGTAAACCTTGCTAGTACCGGGTTGGACCCCCTTTTGCCTTCAAAACTGCCTTAATTCTTTGTGGAATACTTTCAACAAGGTGTTGGAAAAATTCCTCAGAGACTTTGGTTCATATTGACATGATAGCATCAGGCAGTTGCTGCAGATCCATGATGCGAATCTCCCGTTCCACCACATCCCAAAGGTGCTCTCTTGGATTGAGATCTGGTGACTGTGGAGGCCACTGGAGTACAGTGAACTCAGTCATATTCAAGAAACCAGTTTAAGATGATTTGAGCCATGTGACATGATGCATTATCCTGTTGGATGTAGCCATCAGAATTGGTACTACGGGGCCCAAAGAGTGTCAAATTTCTCCCACACCATTACACCACCACCAGCAGCAGCCTGAACCGTTCATACAAGGCAGGATGATCCATGCTTTCATGTTGTTTTACGCCAAATTCTGACCCTACCATGTGAATGTCACAGCTGAAATCGTGACTCATCAGACGAGGCAACATTTTTCCAATCTTCTATTCTCCAATTTTGTTGAGCCTGTGTGATTTGTAGCCTGTTCCTACCCAACAGGCTGTGGTCTGTTGTATGGTCTTCTGCTGCTGTAGCCCATCAGCTTCAAGGTTCGACATGTTGCGCATTGAGAGGATGTATTCTGCATACCTTGGTTGTAACGAGTGGTTATTTGAGTTACTGTTGCCTTTCTTTTGTCATCACAAACCAGTCTGCCCATTCTCCTTAGACCTCTGACATCAACAAGGCATTTCTGTCCACACAACTGCCGCTCACTGGATATTTCCGCTTATTTGGACCATTCTCTGTAAACCCTAGAGATGGTTGTGCATGAAAATCCCAGTAGATCAGCGGTTTCTGAAATACTCAGACCAGCCTGTCTGGAACCAACAACCATGCCACATTCAAAGTCACTTAAATCCCCTTTCTTCCCCATTCTGATGCTCCGTTTGAACTTCAGCAAGTTGTCTATGTATATATATTTATTGTCAGACACTATCAAATGTGTTTACATCTACGTCTTTCTATCCGTTTCTGTCTGTGTTCATCAAGCTGCTCTGTGCAGTAATAGGTTGTAAACAAAAGGTTGAGATGTAGCGAAAGATATTAGCCCCTGTTGTTCATTGCCTGTGTCCAGTACTATGTACCAGCACGCCCCTGCATGCCACTGTGGCTCACATGGGAAGGATGAGATGGATATTTTCCAGCAACCTGCATCCCCCCCCCTTCTTAGATCTGTGCCCTAACCCTGACCTCCTGTCAAACCATGTGCAGGGGTGCGGCCCAAAGCTCAGAGTTTCCTGTTTGGCTGGTGGTGGAGCACAGAAATATCCACAGATTGAAGGAAAAGGGCGAACTGGTGGTTAGCCGTACAGACCACAGAACTTGGATATGAGAATATGCATATGAGATACTGCTTGAAGAAATCAATCTTCACTTCATTTCTGGAATAAGCTTTTAAAATTCCTATTTGTAATTAATCTTGTCCTAATCTTATTTGTTTTGAGAGATGTTGCCATGCCTAGTATGTTAACTGAATCTCTTTCTCTGTAGGGTAAACCCGATCATTTTATTCCCCACAACTTTGTGTCTCAATAGCTATTTGATGGAGATTTAAAAAATAACATCCTCAGGATGCTCAGAGACTCAATTGTGGTGATGTTGCTTGCTTGTCCCATTTTTTTTTTTCTCTACCCCAGCTCTGTTTTGCTGTCCAGATTTGAATCCTATGGGCATCAGTGTAAACATCCAGGATTTTCCACACTTGTAATCAGTCACATCAGTCACATGATCAGTTGGCAACATGTTGATGGTATGTTCTTGAGGAGTTATTGACTTGACTGACTGATTATCCTAAAAAAGGATAAATATTTTTTTCTGTGGCCTGTCTTGCGCATGCCCACACTTCCTATGCGTGTATGAGTTAGAGCTCTTGTTGCACCTCTTTAAAGCCTGTTAATTTCATAGAGGCTCGCTAAGAGACGGGCTGCAAATGGTCCCACCTACACACCTAAGAGTCGGCAGCTGCTCTCCATCTCTTTCTTCTTCCTTCCTCTTTTTTTCCCCTGCTGTCTTCCTCTCTCTCACATGCGTATGCACACTCTCATGCAAGCATGCACGCACACACACACACACACACACACACACATTACCTATGTTGCTGTTTTTCATATCAACAAAACAACATGCATTAAAACCTTTGGAACACAGTATGTTCCCACGGGAATCTGCCCTTGTGTGTATGGCACTGTATGTGCATGTGTTTGTGCCTATTATACTTACATGGTTGTGTACATTTTCGATGCAAAATCAGTCATTGCTATGTGTTTATACAGTATGAGTGCTCTTTTAATCCACTTGTATATCTCCACCCAAAGAGAGTCTCACTCTCACTCCCCAGCCCCACTACTCCCACACACTCCCTCCCACATCTCCTCCTCTGGTTTGGCTAATCATCGCCTGTCACTTTGCCACCCACATGCACGCACACACACACGCTTACACACACACCTGCTCTCCCTTCCCTCTCTTTCCCTTCACTCCCTCTCTTTCTGCTATCCTCCTCCTCCTTTTACCCCTCTTCATGAAGAAGGAGTGAGCACTCATTACCTCAGTGACATTTGTGGCTTTTCAGCCCTTCTAGGGGAATACAGTAAACATAGTTTCTGTGGGGCTGGATGTATTTACGACACTCTGAACGGACCAGCTCTGTTTTATATTTCTCTGAACTAAGAGGCTTGTTATTTACAACCATACCCAAAGCCAGTTAAGCAGTGTACAGGTTTGAACTCCTCCTGAAATTCCTAGTATTTTGATTTGTCATCATTTCTACCGAAAACAGCCAACATTGCCTTTTTTACAAAAAATCTGATAGCTTGCATTTAAGTGTTTTATGGTTGTAAATTTGTGTGTGCATTGCACATTTTCCCATTTATGGTTTTGAATCCAAAATTTCTCCTGACATTACTTCTCAAATGGTTTAGTTTCATGATTATCTGTTTAGCCCGGCTCACTAGTTTCCTCACTTCCGCGCTGGTGAAGAGAAGAACAAGAGCTTAGTTCACTGACAGGGCAGCATGGCATGCAGTGGGTCAGATGGGTGGTGGATTTCAGGAACACCACCACCCACTGGAGTACGAGGCTCGACCTGTTGTGCTCAAATTTACCTCTGTCCCACAACTATAATGTCCTGACATGTCAGAATATATACATATATACAGGTTATTATAAAGAGATTGCTGTCAATGGACATGTTTTACAACTCGCTAGTATGGTCTGCCTGTGCTTGTAGTGTCCTCAGGTGAAGTCAAGTACAGAGCAGCTCTGTGCTTGGCTGGGTGTGTTCTATTATGTTGTCCTACATGGTGTTTCACTGTTGAAAGTTTTAAATATTAGCGTGAAAGTCAGACTACAAACTGAGTACTAGCCTAATTCTAGCGCATGTATAGAACACAGATATGTACAGTAGACTTTACATTTGCTATGGCTTTCCTCCATTCTGTCCTCTGGTTAACAATTAAAAGTAAATTCCCTCTCGAGCCATTCGGCTGATAAGTCTGTTTTCAAGAACATGGACAGGAATGTGAAGTGCTTACAGTTCAGCCTCCCCAGCCAGAGGCAATCAAATATCTTTCTCCCCTCTTATCAACGTCTGTAACTTTGCTAATTGCCTCTTTTTAATTATGTACATGTATGATTCAGCAAAAAGACATGTCTTTAGGGAAATTACATGCATTAGAGGGGGGAAAAAAGGGGGGTCGTATAAAACTCTAGTCAACCAATTGATTGCTTCGGTTGACCACCAAAAAATATCAAAACCTCATACCCCTCCCA